TAAGTTACAGATATATTCTTATGTACTTAGATTAGAAAAAGAAAATGTCTAATATAAGATGTTATTGTTACAATTTGCTTGGTTTTTTTTTTTGAATAAAATATAAAAATCATATCTATTCATAAAACTATTCTGTATACTTAAGTAACAATTGTTGCTACAATCAATGTATAACAATAGTTTTCAAGAATATCCTACTGCTAATAATGCATTGGTAGTTGTATAATGTCTTCAAGCCCCATTGTTATGCTATAGACATGGGTAGTGATGAAGAGTTTGGCTTAGCAAAGCTCAAAACCTTATTTCTAACATCAAATTAAAATACCATGTACAACCTGCAAAACATATTGGAATTTTTGCCTATGGACTCTATTATTTCTCTCCCTCCATACGTAATAAACTATAGCATTCCAAGCCAGTTTAACAAGGATACTATACAAAGATTTGCCCCTAATCCTCTTCCCCATCCAAGCCAATAAACCTTGCCAAAAGCAAAATAAGGAAATTCATATCATAGCACAAATAGCCTGCCATTTTTGCATGGTAAAATGACACTCAAAAAACTTATGAGTGCTTGTTTCCACACTTGTTTTATAGAATAGGCAAGTTTCCTCAATAATAAGTGTCCATTTCTTCCACCTACTTCTCATTAACAATTTATCCAAGAGTGCTAGCCAACAAATGAAACTATGCTTAGGGATTGCATAAGGAAACCATACTAATATGTGCCATGGAACCTTCACTTGCTTTGCCCGTAGGAAATGCCATGCATTACTTGTTTTAAACACTCTCGAGATAGAGGCAGTCCAAATAACTGAGCCCTTCTCCTTGCTCTTGGGATATAAAGTGTCAAAAAAGGCCATCTGAATCTTAACAAATTGTGGGGAGCGAGCAAGAGGCTAGTTTTAGAAATTTCCATTTACCACTGCATAAACTTTGGCAAACAACTGTAGAGTCAAGTCAAGAGCAATTTTAGTTCCATTTGCTATAATTAACGGCCCGTAGGATGTCAGTAGTTATGCCATAAAAAAATATCAATGCCATTAACAAGTACATGTTGTATTAAACCCCTAGCATAGCATTGGAGCTTGAGAATTTTCCTCCATCCCCAATATGAGTTAAAAAGAATGTTGAGATAACATGTATTATTTGTTTAATTTATAAACTGTACTTAATTTTTATTTTTATTTTTTTCATTTATTATTTTTATTTTTAAAAATTATTGTTATTTTTATAGATATTAAATATAATAAATATATATAATTTTAATTATATAAATATAAATAACATATTAATTAAATAAATCAATTAAACAAATTAGATAAATAGTTATAAACCCTATATTTATATCGGTCGTATCCAATGCTCACCCCTAATTATTTCTTTGCCTCATAGTTTCTTCCAAAATCCCCAGATAACAAATTTCATCACGAAACCCATTATTCAATTTGTGCTTTGCAATTTTAAACAAGTAATCAATTTGAGCTTTATCAACGCAGAATGTCAGAGAGCTAAGCACAAAAAATAAAAATATAAAATTAATAATGATAAAAAATATTATTGGATTTTGATGACAAGATTCTTGAGTGTGTGTAGCTCTCACTTGCACATTCTCTCTTAGTTTTTCCAGCTGATGCAACTGCTCCTATAGGGTATGAATCTAGGTTCAGATTTGATCTTCTTTTGAAGTTTCTTCAATTCCTGCAGTTTCATGTCATAAACATACACGCGATCATCGACACCAGATTTGTTCTGGTGTTTAAAAACCAATACCTCCCCATTTCGCAGGGAGGCAACTAGTACCAGTTTTTGAAAAGCAGGCAACTTGTCATTCTTCTCTTCACTACCTGTCAATGCATCCTCCCTCTGAACTTCCTCAGTATCTGGTAAAGTATTGCTTTTCTTGCGGTGTATCAAAGAGTCAGTATTCAAGCTTGTAAATTTTGTCGCACTTGCATTGATGGTGTGTTCCTTTGACCATACCTGTTTAGAAAAATCCTTCAAAATCCAAATATCAATGATGCAACTATTGTATCTGTATATGAAAGAAAGCTTTCCATCAATCTCCACCAAATCATATTTGAGCCTGTTAATTTGCTTGCCCCAGTTTGGAAGATTTGTCTTGCTCACTTTTTCATCACTGATATCCATTGAAATAATGTACTTATCTGAATCAACAAACCAGTGCATGACTTGTCCACCTATCAAGACAGGGTCACTCCAAGTGAATTGCTCGATGTTAAAAGGTCTTTCACAGGGCGCATTGAAAGGCCCTGGAATCCTTTTCCATGTGTTGTCAGGGCTCATGAAGCTGAATGTCTTGTTATCAATGAAGAATGCGAATATTTCGAACCCAAAACCATCAGCATACATGTGAACCACTTTGTACTCCTTTGAGGAAGGAACATACCCTAGTGCTACACCACAAGTACCATGGTAACAACCACTAGGACACCTAGGAAGATTGATTACAGAACCATTGACAATATTCCTGACTGAAAACACTCCTAGCAGTGGTGAATTATTATCAACCAAAATCAGTCCGTTACAACTAGAACGGATCTGTCCCATATGAGGATAATCAATATTCTTTAATTGGAAGTGAAGCCTTTCCTCATCAACAATCAGTAAACTAGTTTTGTATCGCATTCCAGCTTGGATCAGAAATTCAGGATTACGGTGAATCTTAATCCTTCTTATGAACTCAGGGCTGCTGATCAATCTATTCCATGATTTACATATGTATCTGAACTTCTCGTTTAGACACTCCAGTGGAATTTTGACTAAGATTTCAGCGATCACATGTTCTGGAAGATCAGGGAGAACATTGTATTTACCTTCCTCCATTTTTTTTTTCAACAGGTTTGCTTTTCTCTGGTTCATTCCGTCAGACAAGTCTTCAAAAAAAAAAAAAGAAATCTGGAAGAAACAACTAGGATATCATTCTGGTATTCCAAGGACTGAAATCAAATAAATTAATACAACCACTACACATCTTTACACGGTAATTTATTAATCTCAGAACGATTCAATACATGAAATTTGTATAAGTAACATTATAAAACTATTTTTGCTCTATCATGACAAATAAGTTAAAATTAAGAAACTTGGCTAGGTATTGTCACTCAATATAGCAATCTTTAAGTATTAGAATAATAACAAGATCGGAAAAACAAAATTAGTAATAGAATTTTAATATTTTCAGCAATTTAGAAATTAACACTAAAAAGGGATTCCTCTGCAAATCATCTTTAAGATGTAATGAACTGGGAATTTAGAAAGAAAACAGTAAAAGTATAATAATCACC